AGCAGCAGCATCGGAGGCACAGCCTCCTGGGGCCTACCGGAAGCTTCTGGGCAGAGGCCCAGGCCAGCCAGGCCGCCGAGAGAGGCAGGCTCTTTCCATAAAGGAAAGAGCTCGCTGCCTGGCCAGGCATTCGGGCACTTGCATGCTGGCGGCAGTGCTGCTGGAGCGGATGCTCGTGGGCTGCTGCTGGCGCTGAGAGGCAAGGTGCAAGCGCGTGCGGTCGTGCAAGAAGCAGGGCGCTGCTGAGGGCAGTGCCATAGCCCAGCCTCCATAGCTGGCTCGAGCTTGGACTACAGTGAGGCGCAGGGGTGGTCTTCGGGTGTATAGAGGGAAGACGTGGGTGTAAGACGAGGAAGAGAGAGAAGGATGATGATGATGATGATGATGTGAGGGCACATACCTGGTATTGGCGATGGTCTGCTAAGGGCGACATCTTCAAGTACTTCATGGGCTGCTGACGTCAACAGTTGCATTGTCAATTAGTAGGCTGGTAGTAGCTGTGTAGGGAGTAGGCTGGGCGCCGGGCACCAAGTAGGGAGATAAGCCTGGACACATATGTTGGTGGTGGCGAGAGAAAGCTCTCATTGACATTTGGTTTTCAGTGTTACGATTCTCCATTGGTGTCATATTGGTGCAATGCTGCTTTCTGGACACTGTGATACGATCTGGCTTTCAATGTGATTGCTCATTTTCCTTGCACAGGTTTCAACTTTCAAGTCTCAACCTGAGTCATGCAAGGTCCAGTTCACTGGACAGTATATCCTTTTTTTGGGGGCGGAAGGGGGTGGGGTTCAATATTAATATTGCAGGAAACCAATACCTTTCTCGGCCTTTTGGCTAAGATCAAGTGTAGTATTTGTTCCCCTCAGTTTAATATCTGGTCCATGGTCCATCGGACCAAACGATATTACATTAATCTTTCTGGGCCATGGAGGGGTCATACGGGTAAGGTTGCTTACTCGACCCCTCCACTGTTGCTCGGCGCAGCCCTCCCCCCTTCAAAGGGGAATATAGCCTCCTGATGAGTCAGTGAGACTCCGACGAAACAGTTTGTCACAGCCCCTCGTTTGTTGTCCTCTTCTCTCTCTCTGCCTACGGTTTACCGGGCAGTTCTGTTTGTGACGATTGTTAGCAACATCGCCACTCCTCTTATTGTGTATCATCGTCGACGACATGCACAACATCGCCACTTGGCCAGGGATCAGCGGCCTGCTTCTTTGTCTACCCCAATTCTCTTTGTGCCTCCTCCACGGGTTGTTGCGGTTCCGTTGTCCCAAACGGATACATCCGCTCCTACGCCTCCTGCAGAGAGTCCAGCTGCTTGCACACAGCCACAACACCATGTCTTATGCCCTTCCATGTTCGTTTGTCCCCCAGCTGTGCAACAGGATATGGTCCCTGCCCAGAGTACACTCCCAACGACAGTCCCTACTCACGATGTGGCCCCGAACGCTGAGGGCCTAGGACATGATCAGCTCGGACTGCATTTAACCCCGCAAGGCATAGACCACACGGAAGATTTGCAAATGGCTGACCAGGATCATATGGATGAACAGCGTACTTGTGCCCCTCCCTGTGTGGCCCCGAACGCTGAGGGACTGGAACATGATCTGCTTGGACTGCATTTAATCCCGCATGGCGTAGACCCCACGAGGGATTTGCAAATGGCTGACCAGGATCATATGGATGAACCGCATACTTATGCACCACTGTTGCATACTTCAATGAGTATGGGCAGAACCAAAGATCAACCAATGTAGGATGAGCATATATGCAGCGGAAGTCTGATAAACGGACTGACTCACATAGACTGACTCACATAGCATCACTCCACACACATACAATCGTGAGATGGTGGGGTCTGGGCCATTCGTAGACGATGCCCAGATCCGGTACACGCATTCACAGATGAAGGGTGGGAGGAGAGACGAAGGAGGTGGGGAGGTAGACAACACCGAGAGATGGAGTCTGATAGGTCTCCGATATGGTAGTCCAAAATGTCATACAACAAGATCAAAATGTCGAGGCCCATAGGTCATCCATG